GTGACCTCCACTCACCATTAGGAATTGAGGCTCTCAATTCAACAACACTGAGGGACTGAAACTTTGCCACAAACCACATGAGATTAGAAGTGAATGCTTCCCCAGTTAAACCTTCAAGTGAGATCCAAGCCCTGTCTAGCACCTCGATTGTAGCCTGTGAAAGACCCTGACTCAAAGGACCAAACTAAGGCATCCCCCAATTTCTGACCCACGTAAAATTTGAAATAATAAATGCAACTTGTTTTACATCACTAAATTTCTGGTAATTTGTTATTCAGCAATAGAAAACTAATGCAGCATTCAAAAATGTAGGGGAAATGTGTATCAGATATACCAGTTATACAGGTGTGTTAGGATTTTATTTACTTAATTTTTAAAATAATATAACAATTGTATATATTTATCATGTACAACATGGTGTTTTGAAATATGCATGTACTGGAATGGCTCAGTTAAGCTAATTAACTTATATTACCTCACATACTTATTTTTTGTGGTTAGAACACTTAATTAAAATCTACTCTTAGCAATTTTCAAAATATAATAACATTGTTTTTGACTATAGTCACCGTGTTGTACAAGAGATCTCTTGAACTTATTCCTCCTATCTAATTGAAATTTTGTATCTTTTGATCCAGCGTCTACTCCCTCATTCCTTGTTGACATATTTTAAACCACCACAGATGTTGAGGTCCAGGTCCCAACCTGTTTAGTGTAGAGCCCAGCTTGGAAAAAAGATGAAAGAAAACAAGGTTTCTGAGCAGAGAGACTTAGTTTTATGAAATCCATGTATTAAACCTTATGTACTTTACATAATGGAGTGTCTCTCATGCCCTCAACATCTGTTACTATTTTTCACTAATTTCTAACAGTCCTAGTTATCTGGTTTCCAAGATGCAGCAGGGAATGAGGGGGCTGCTATAGAGAGACACCTTCATGATCATATAAGATAAGCGCTGATGTCTTCTTTGCAGGATAGGAGAGAGGAAGCTATTTAAAAATTCAAGAACTGTGAAGGTCACAATTTTGGGGGATTCATTCTTAGCAGTCACTGGGTCTCACTGAATTATGTCATTGTTATTTGTCATGATATCCTAAGTCATTAAGGGAAAACATGATGTGTTCCATAATTATGAAAATGTTAATTCCCTTTTAATTTTTCCCATCCCAAGTAATGCCAGTCCTATTTAAGAGAATGCTTTTTCGAAATTCCCAAATCCTAGGACAACAGTTCCAGAGTTCTTTTCTATCCTCTCTCATAGACTCTTCTCTCTTGGTACAGAGAAAGATCTGTTCCTGCTCATTATATGGATAAAAGACTGGGCTCGAAAATCCTACCTTAAGTACCTTAATAATCTCGGGAAAGTCTAGGCTGTTACATGTCATTTGCTGAGACTTGGCTAAAATTGACAAGGGAGACTTTAAATGCAGAAGGCATTTACCAGGATGGACTGTTTTGGAAACTTTTGGATTCCTTGGGAGTCCTGGTCTGTAAAAAGTAAAACACTGGTTTTACTAAGAAACCAGAAAAAGGTACCTAAGCAGATCTTAACGATGAAGGAAGGTTCCTGTATGGTTGGAGAAAGTAATTTAGGGAAAAGATTACCCAATTGCACAGGTTTTTTAAAAAGTTATTATTTCTAAATAGCTTATACATTTATATATACCATATGTTATTGTAACAGTATAAGAGGGTATATAGTAAAAAGTAAGTCCCTTCTACCCCATTCCTCTAGTCAGTTCCTTACCCTAGAGGCAGCCACTTTTTCCAGTTTCTTGTATTTCATCCATGGAGACATCAAGGATTTATGTGTGATACTGTGCATACCATACATATCATTGTGCTCTTAAACATTAAATCTTGGAGATTATTCCACATTTCTACTGATTGAGCTGTCTCATTTTTAATTAATAGTGGCATGGTGTTTCACTGTATGGCTGTACCATAATTTAAGCAGTCCCATGACATTTAAATCTTTGCTTTTATAAAAAATGCTATAATAAATACCTTTGTACATCTTTCATCTTGTAGCAGTTCTAGCATACCTCTGGGTTCAGTACCTAGAGGTGGAATTGCTGGCTCAGAGGGTATATGCATTTAAACATTTCATAAAATCTTTTTATTTGGAAATAATTTTATAGAGAAAAGTTACAAGAGTGGTACAAAGAACATCCATATACTCTTTATCCAGATCTGATCAGCCTTTTCATTAGTGTTCTCTCTCCTCCCCCCTACCATAGACTTTTTTCTAAATCGTATGAGAATAAATTATCATGGTCTTTTACCTCTCTAAGTACATAAGTATGTAATTCCTCAGAGTAAGATTTTTCTCTTATGTAACCACATATAACATTGATACAATACTTTTATTTGAACTACTGCTTTTCAAATTTCAGTTTTGTCAGTTGTCTAATAATGTCCTGTTTTTTTCTTTCTTTTTTTCTTTTTTTTTTTTAAGAGGCAGGGTCTTACTCTGTCACTCAGGCAGGAGTGAAGTGGTGTGATCATAATATACTGCAGCCTTGAACTCCTGGCCTCAAGCAATCCTTCTACCTCAGCCGCCCAAGTAGCTGGGGCTAAAGGTGCATGCCAGCATCACAGCTAATTTTTAACATTTTTGTAGAGATGGAGACTATGTTGCCCAGGTTGGTCTCAAACTCCTGGCCTCAAGTGATCCTCCCACCTCGGCCTCCCAAGCATTGGGATTACAAGCATGACCCATCATGCCTGGCCAATAATGTCCTTTATAGAATTTTTTTCCTTTAGTACAGGATCCAGTCTGGGTACATTCAAAATTTTGATACATATTGCCAAATTGTTCTTTATAGACATTGTCCCAGTTTACATTTTTGTTGGCAGTATACGAGTCCTTGTTGCGCCACGTTCTCACCTATGTCATCTTTAATCAACTGGAAGCTTTGTGATTTCAAACAGCCTTTTGCAAGGATAACATTCACCTTGGGTAGTCTGAATATGTGTTTCTCTGGATCTTTTGGGATACTTTGGTATTAGTAGTTGCTTCCTGGCTTAAGGAATTTCAGCTTCTCTTTCAACCTGAGGTTGCTATTGTGCTCAAGACAATTTTGGCAGTGCTCTAGGGTTGCTGATTTTGTCTTCTCTGCTGAACTGACTCTCTCAAAGGGCTAACACAGCTCTGCTCTCTTAGTCTTGGTAAGCTAGAGGTAGTAGAAACCTAAGAAAGTAGGAGCTTATTAAATTTGGTATTAGAAATATTGCACAGTTATTATATGGTAAATATGTAGTATCCTGGAGTCTCATATTTGATGAATGTGCTGTTTTGCTACCTTCAGCATGTGAGAAAAATTATATCTTTTTTTTTTTTTTTGAGACAGAGTCTCACTCTGTTGCCCTGGCTAGAGTGCCGTGGCATCAGCCTCGCTCGCAGCAACCTCAAACTCCTGGGCTCAAGCGATCCTCCTGCCTCAGCCTCCCGAATAGCTGGGACTACAGGCATGTGCCACCATGCCCGGCTAATTTTTTCTATATATTTTTAGCTGTCCAATTAATTTCTTTCTATTTTTGGTAGAGACGGGGTCTCGCTCTTGCTCAGGCTGGTCTCGAACTCCTGAGCTCAAACAACCCACCCGCCGCGGCCTCCCAGAGTGCTAGGATTACAGGCGTGAGCCACCGCGCCAGGCCAAATTGTATCTTTTGAAAGAAGTTTGCAGATTGTTGGAGGCTATGTCAATACTCAAGTGAACTCACGCCTGCAGGGAGAGAATAATGTCAGGTAGATTGTTGTAACAGTATAGAAGGAAGTATAGGGGTTAAGAACTTGGGTTCCAGAGCTAGAGCTCTGTGTCCTTTGGAAGTAACCTAACTTCTGGGCTTCAGTTTCCTCAGCTATAAAATGGAGATGACAATAATAGTACCTCTGTCACAGAGTTATAAGGAGAGTTGAAGGCATTTATTCATGTGAAAGCATCTAGATTGGTGCCTGGCCTATAGTCAGCACTATATAGTATTCCTTCTTATCGTCATCATCTTCATATCTTAATGAGTTCTTAGCATAAGCTAAGTACTTTACATATATTGTTTCATTTAATCCTCTAACTCTGTGAGGTAATTATTAATATTACCTCCACCTTACAGAGGAGAAAACAGGCTCCATTAACAGTGAATTTCCCGAAGTCATATGTCTGCTTAGTATGGAGTTAGGTGTGATCTGACACACAAACTGATACGCTGTTTAACACACAGCACAGTTATTAAGATTGGGAAGCGTTAATATAAGGAAGGAACTGGAAGAACCATCCCGTGAAGGTAAGTCTATAGTAGTTCTGAAAATTTTCTGGTCTTAGGATCCCTTTGCACTAAAAAATTATTAAGGACTGTAAAGA